ATGTAACCAATTGTTATTTATTTAGAAATCGTGAGATGCGGTTTGGTGTGATGTAGGTTTCAGAAAAACATGTTTTTTATCGTGCCAACGTTTCGGTCTTTATTGGGATCATCTTCAGGGCCTGGGATTTACAAACATTGTTTACGTATAACAATTACATTTTGGATGTGTTTTTCTGAAACCTACATCGCACCAGACCGCATCTCACGATTTGTAAATAAATATCGATTAACGGTCACTAATCACCCAATTGTGGGAGGTGTATAAACGACTCAAAACAAAAATTTTTGATAGTACTAATTTCGTAAATTATGAACTCCGGTTTATGAAGATTTTAATTAGATGATGTTTTTGATACTTTATAGTTGAGTGTATTTTTTATGTAAATAGCGGCACCACCTCCTCTAGTTTTGATTCTATCATTATGAACAAGATTATGATTAAAGAGGCTATGGTGGTAGAAGATAATAGGTTTAAGAAACGTTTCTGTGGCAGCAATTATGTCTACTTGATTTTTACTGAAAATTGTGTTGAAATCAGACAAGTGAGCAGTTAACTATTGTACATTTATATGGTATAATTTAATGTGTTTTTTACAATTTGTAAATTCAAATTTAAAGAATTCGTATGGATCCATTGATTAAGTCGGCGAAGGTTAAAATATTCACAGGTTATGTAATCGTCATGACACGATAAGTGAGCAACTCATTTTCATTTTTACGCAAAAGCAATTTGCCATTTTGAAACCGTAGAAATTTACATCTTTTTCATTTCTGATTAATTTACCATCTCTCAATAGTTTTTTATTAATAAAAATTAGGGCAAGATTTATATAGATATTATTGTATTCTCGGTCGATGTAATTAAGATTTCTTATAGTTATTGGGGCTTTTCTTTGTTTTAGATTCATAAATATTTCTTCTTTTATTATAGAGCGTATAAAATCAACACGTATAATAGCAGAGACGGGATTACTGTGGTTATGTTTACGTTAACAGTAATTAAGTTCACTGAGAGAGAGATAGAGAGATAGAGAGATAGATAGATAGATAGATAGAGAGAGAGAGAGAGAGAGAGAGAGAGAGAGAGAGTGAGAGAGAGAGAGAAATGAATGTATATAAAAAAATGATAGGATAGAAACACAACAACAGAAACGTGATGAGAGAGAGAGACTTGATGGAAAAACTGAGTCAGGACAAGTGTTCGTGAGGAAAAGATAAACTGAGGCAGGCAGACAGAACAGCAGAGAGAGAAAATGTGAAAAAACAACGAGAGAAAGAGAAAATAGAGAGAGAGAGAGAGAGAGAGAGAGAGAGAGAGAGAGAGAGTATTTGTATATTTTGGTTTAAATATTTTTGGGTTTGTAATATGTTAATAAAAATGGGTATTTATGGCGATGGTTTTATCTGCCTTTCGTGACCGTACACTCATTAACGTAGTACGAACTAATTTTCGTGTAAATGTATGCAGTTTGTCCGTTTCAGATCATTTTGTTTTGCCTGTCCTTGCTGTTTTGGTCTATCTGGCGTGTTTCGGCCTCTCGCAATACTCAGTGTTGGAGCTGTATGATTTCTCTTTAGTCAAGCCACTTTACCTCCTAAAATCTACAGGTTCATCACACCGTAGATTCTGAGAAGAATCTCACAAGTGTTTGGATGCCTGTACATGTTTTAGTTTTTGGCGTACTTAAGCAATAATTTAAAAGACCAATCGGATGTCGGCAGAATGGTTTGTATCAAGGGGTCGTTATTTTGCCCCGGACTGGCAAAAACCAAAAAACAGCATCGCACGATTCCTTCAGACCTTGTCATCCGAGACGCCGGCCGGCGCTTTTCCCATTCGGCCCGGCGAAGAAAGACGAAACCTAAAGGCCGAGTCGGCATCACTTAGGAGCTTTTCTGTTTGTGTTGACCTGTCACGTGTACATCTGTGTAAAGCCGCCGCTTTGGTGCATGTGCATAGATGGATTTAAACAAAACGGCCACCCAGTAGCTCCGACTCTTAAACACTTCCGTTCTTTTACAACGCGTATTAACAGCTTCTGAGCCTCTCTTTCCGAACTTTTAAATTACCGTGTAAGTAGCCTGGTTGTAAAATCTTTAAGGAACCGACCCCTCGGTCAGGATCACGCTCCTTTGAAAGTGTATCGTCGACATCTGGTTAATTCCCATCAGTAGGTCGTGTGATTCAATTTTGTCCTATTCCGGAAACAACGAAGGCCCCTTTTACTAAGGATATCATACTAAACCTTTATGTTCAATATGAAACTATATAATACATGATAATTCTGATAGCTGAATCATAAAATTTTACAATTAGCACAAAACTCTATCCCTATTAATGTCAGGCATCATTTCGTTCTATGTAAATTAAATTGGTGTTTGTAACCTAATGGTTGTATTGTGAATTAAACCATTTTTTATTTGCATACTCCGTAAAATACCTACCTTTTCTTTTTTTGGAATAATTTATTTTATTTATTGTTATGAGTACAAAATATACATTGAGCAAATAGTTTAGTTATAAACTAATCTGAGAGATCTGTCAGACCAGAAGGAAGTGGGGAGAGAAACCATCCAGTGCTGGAACTCTCTTTTATTTAAATGGGCGGGTTAGGTCGAAGAACAAGAGGCCATCGTCGTTTTAAACAACACGGAGGATTGTAAGAGTGAGACGTTGAGGAAAGAGTTAAGGTGGCCATTCACGATCGCTCCAAGCAGGCCAAACGGAGCGACGCCGTTCCAAAAACCACGTCAATGGCAAAACTGAACTGGCGTGCCCGGCTGTGCCGAATATTCGACGGTCCAAACTCCATCGCGCCACTCCAAACATCTACGGCGCGACGACGGCATGGCGCGTTCGTGAATGGGAAAACTTGGCGTGGAGGGTGGGGATTTTGGCGCGCTGGCCTGGTCCTGAATGGGAAAACCCTCGTTTTTTTGGCGCAGTCTCCGTCTTTCTGTCTCTGAGCAACCATCTCCGTCGTACATTCTCAAAAAGTCAAAAACGTTTATTCTTTATTGGTAATGACATCTAATCGAGATTTTATTGTTGAGGTGATTGAATTGTATGACCGTTTACCATGTTTATGAAAGTGGTGGACAATGATTATATTACCAAGACAGAAATAAAAAATTCGATCCTCAACCAGTTGATATTGTATTGATTACCCCTAACAATCATCAAAAATCGTAGTAGAGAACTTAAGTTCTTCGTAGTTCATCCCTGTAGCGAGAAATCGTAATGTGGTTGCCAACCTTTCATATAGTGATGATTTCTCTTTTGTGTCTTTTGTTTTCTAATCAAGGGGGTAACAAGCTGGAGCAAATATAAATAAGACGTTAATCTTTTTTTGGTAAGGTTTTGGTTGAAATGAAAAAATAGTCTCACGAGGGGATTCGAATCCACGAGAATCGGCTAAATATGCCGCTGCGCTAACCACTTGAGCTATTCTGACTTCGATAGTTCGATCCACTCGGGCACCAACTTCTCATCTCAACCTACAACCTTTCGAATTTTCTCTCTTTTTGCCATTTTTTGGTGTCGGAGAGGATCGAAGTCACGATAGCACAAGTGGTAGAGCAGCGGCGTATTTATCCGAAGGCCATGGATTCAGATCCCGCTCGTGGCACTAGCTTTTTCATTTCAACCAAAACCTTACAAAAAAGATTAGATAATTGAAAGAAGTAATTTGGTCAATAGAACACTAAATATAATGAATAAATAAGACGTTTCATCCATCCTTAAATAGTTCCTCCAATCAGCGGGTTCAAGGAAAAGATCTTTCATCAAATTGATGTAGGTATTACAGCTTCTGTTCAGGAAACAGACAACAAACAAAAAATAAACAGAAGAGTAGCACAAGAGATCGTCATCCATTTTGAGAAGGTAATTCACTGGTTGACGTTGGAGCGACTGGCTATGGAGCGGACGTGAATGCCCCCTCAAATTTCAAGCACTCCAAATGGAGCTGTACGGCTTGGAGCGGTTTCATTTGGAGTGATCGTGAATGGCCACCTTTAGGGCCAGTGGGTTAGGATGTAGGTATAGATAAGAGTGGAAATTGAAGAAGCGTGATCGGATAAGATCTTTTAGGAAAGGGATTTTAAGATCTTTATGGATCGTTTGATTGGTGTCGTAGAAGGGCACATTGAAGATACGGTAGAGAACTTTAGATTGAAAAAATTTAATTCGTTGGATATTGGATGATTTGGCTGAGTCCCACAGTTCGACTCTGTAGGTCCAAATAGTGATGGGTGTTTTGTAAGCGGTTAGTTTGTTATGTATGCTTATTGTTGATTTTGGCTCCAACAGGTGTCAGAGTAGTCCATATCTTTTGTCAAGTTCTTGCCGTTTTAATCTTGTATGTAGGTTCCATGTAAGTATACCAACTAAGTAAACCCAAGGTAGCGGACTTGGTTCTATGGTGGTACTACCTTTTTGTTAATGTGCACTGGATGGCAGGTTTGACGTTTGAGCGTAAACGTAACTTGTTGGCTTTTTTGTTCCTTTAATCTGATCCGCCACAGATTGCACCAGTCGTAATGATGTTCAGATGTTGTTGGATAGCTTCTGTTGCTAGGATTGGATTGGAATATGCTGATAAGATTACGGTGTCGTCCGCGTGGGTTGTGAGTTGTGTGTTTGGATGTGTGGTTTGTCAGCGTTGTAGATGGTATAGACTAGAGAGGATTGGGCCTCGGATACTTCCTTGTGGAACGCCAGCGTTCATTGGCATGATGGGTGAAAAATCGGTGCCGATTCTCACTTTAATTGATCCGAGAAGAAGGATTTCAGGATTTTTAACTTATAAAGGAGGCCGGGATGGACTCGATGAAACGCTTCCGTAACGACCAGAAATGCGGCTGAGCAGCATGGTTCTAATTGATCTGCTTTTCTTTAAACACAAAACAATAATTACAAAATCAAAAGGGGTTTAGAAGAAATAATTAATTTATTAATATTGGTATAATTTAATAATAAATCGTATACATTTTGACTACGTCGTAAAACAGGTAACTATATCTACAATTTTTTATTCATTTTTGAAATATCCACATTGCAGAGGACTGCATCGCAACAATATTAAAATTCTCTTCTGTTAAATAAATCTAATTATTTACATAACTCGTGATGAAGGTCGCAATAGTGCTGATCGACTATACAACTGAAATTTCCATTCCGACTGGAAATAATATGCGAAGCTGTGATGCCGTTGATTACCTTCTAAAGGTGGACTTTAAAAAGAGTTTTATTGCACTTTATTTTTTTTTAGAGTTTATCAGTTTAAGAGAGAAATCATTCCATCGGCATCGGCGGCGACTGGCTGTGAGGCGAGGCCGGCAAGTTCTGCACTGCTCCGCAGAGAAGGGGATAGTAGTAATAAGGGTGAACCGGAAGTGGAAAATGCCTCTGAACTGGTCTGTCGTCTCTCACCAAAACCTGGAAAAAAATTGTTTGGATTAATAACACAAAGCCGGGCCTGTGACACCGCCTGTGTCCCCAGCAAAAGGGATCACGAGAAAATTATTTTCTGTCAAACTAATTAAACATTTGTTTATCCCAATGAACCTTGAGATCTGGAGAAACGGCTCTGATTATATTAATGTATTATAATTTTATATTAAAAGACGCATAGGGATCATCATCATCATCTTCCAAGTGAATATAATTTTAATTTTTAATTTCGAGAGTCTATGTATGTTCATATATAAAATTCGTTTTTCTCTCATCACGTTTTGGTTTAAAAATGATGAAACTTTGAATGGAAGGGGAAAAACAAGATTCTATAATCATTTCAAATATTAAAAATTGGAATATTTTTCCTAAAAAGATTTATACTTAAATATAGTTTAAATTTATATTTGAATATGAATATGAAAAGTTCATAATAACCTTCACTGCGACCCTTTTCCCTGGAACGTCTGTTTGTATCTGCTTCCTTTTCGTTTTGTACCTTCGGTTTTGGAACCAAATTTTTACCTTAAGACATTAAAATTTCAGTTGTTTATTGTTAGTCGAAAGGGGTAAATTTAGTTTAATTTTTCTTTAATTTTACCTGTGTTTCCGTGAGTTTAAGGGAATGTGCGAGATCTGCCCTTTCCGGGCCTGAGAGGTACCTTTGCTGACTGAACCTTCTCTCGAGTTCGTAAACTTGGGCGTGGCTGAAAGCGGCCCTGCACCTCTTCTTCCGGCCGTCGGGCCTGGTCGACCTCGCCAGTTCTTCCACTGCCATTTCTCCTAAAAACAAGAATAACTTTGAAGAATCTCGTTGAAACATTCGAAATACAGGACGAGACCTAATTTCGTAAAAATAGAAATAAACCTATTAGGGAGGTATATATATCTTGAAGTGTGATATTGTTTACTGTCGGTCTCAGGTCGACAAACAGACAAACATGTGGGAAAACAGCTTACTAATTATACGGGAACAATACCGACGGCGGAAGTGGGTGCCAAAATAAAGAAAACCATTTCCGCTATAACCGCTTCCATTACTCTGTGGGGCTTTTAGTATATTAAGTGCGACTGAGAACGGTGCCAGGCGCGACTTGAGAGCACGTCACCCAAAGAACCTTTTGTACCCTCACTAGACTCAATAAACACCAATTACGGTGATTGCAGGTGATTCGATCGTTTTAAAGCATTTTTCCACAGTAATGATCGAGAAAATGGTCTTTCAACGTACAGCGCTAGCTAGTCGATGTACAGAGTACGAAAAATGCCAGGATTTGCCCCTAGGAATCTTGTTCTATCGAAAACACTAAATAAAAACAATCATTAAAGAAGCACCTAATATACTTATCAAAGACAATGTTCGTGCTAAATCGTAGCATAACTTACTAACAAGTTGGGAGTTTGGTAGTACTGTAGATAACTGTGGACTATTTCTTGTTGAATTGTTTTTAAATTAATTATTACATATATATTTTTTCCGCCCATTCATTGCTTCTCTTTTTCTTCTATTACTTGCTACCTCTAACATCTCTATTAGTTTTTAATTTCGAGAGTCTATGTATGTCCAAAAGCTATCATAAAATCAGGTACATAACATTCATTTTTCTATCTGAAAGTGTCCCCCTCTGACTCACACTCGCTCTCTCTCTATCTCTCTCCCTCTCTCTCCTGTATGATCAAACGACAGTAATGATTAGCAAATACGAAATGGTTGTTTACTAAACAAATAAATAGTGTGATTGTCCCACTATCGTTTGTATTTTGTGCCAAATCATGTTAAAAATAGTTATTTTATAAAATTATGTTTCCGTTCTTAACTGTTAATTCTATACATTATACATTCGGTCGAGTTGTAGTACATTCAGTGCTTCTCTTTCTCTTTCCTTACTTGCAGCCTCTAACATCTCTATATAGTCCCATAGTCTCTCCCTCTTTCTTTTTTTCTCTCTCTCTCTCTCTTCTCTTACTTTCTCTCTCTACTATACACTCACTCGACCCCCTCTCTCATTCTTTCTTTGTCGTTCTGCTTGTATATCACACTCTTATACCTGTCAGTGTCTCCCCTTTTCTTTATCTCTTTATTCCTATTTACCCAGTCAATTTCTAACTCTTTATAACTGCCTTTCTTACCATTTGTGTGTGCACTTTTTTTACTTCGCTTACCTAATTTTCTGCCTGGATACCTGTCAGTCCGTCTGACTCTATCCTTCTCTCTTAATCTCTCTCTTTTCTCTCTCTCACTTTCTCTCTCTCTCTCTCTCCTTCTCTCTCTCTCTCTCACTCTCTCTTTTCTCTCTCACTTTCTCTCTCTTTCTCTATCCTTCTCTCTCTCACTCTCTCTCTTTTCTCTCTCACGTTCTCTCTCTATCCTTCTCTCTCTCTCTTTTCTCTCTCTCACTTTCTTACTCACTCTCTCTCTCTCTTTCTCTCTAACACACTCTTTTCTAACACATTGACTTTCCTTCCTCTTCTGTCTCTGCTAGTTGATAATTCATTCTGGCTTTGCCTGTTTATCTCTTTCCCTTTGCCCCTCTCTCTTCTCTCTCTCTCTTTCTCTCTCTCTCTCTCTCTCTCTCTCTCTCTCTCTCTCTCTCTCTCTCTCTCTTATATTATTTGTACGTACGTACCAGTGTAATATTTAAAAATAGTCACTGCCAGCGATATTGGACATTTGGATTATTATTTATATTTATTACTGTTTCATTGGATGATTAATGGATGTTTATTGCACAATAACTATCAAAAAACCTCGTCAAACTCTACACGTTTGCAAAGAGAAATAGGAAAGAAAGAAAGAAATATCTAAAGTATGGATGTAAGTTAATGACCATGCAAAATATGTTGCATTATTTATTAGCTTTCCAATGTCTAACCATTGCGAATTTTTTTTCATAAAAGTTCAACACATTTTGAATTATAATTATATGTCTGAAATCGGAATTAAAAACGAACGCAACAGCGAGGACAATGGATCTTTGATAATTGAAAAATGAAAAACTTTATATTTCAAAAATACCCTATTTTCCTTTACGTAGCTATTTGCATAAGCTAACAATGAATGAAAATAATTATAAAAATAATAATTTAGGCGATGTAAAACAAATATCTGAGCAATATAGAGAAAACAAGGAAATATTATTATTGACTAAATTTTGAAATTTTACCGATCAGAAATTTGTTTTCCAATAGTCCTTAAAATCTTTATTACAATTTTTCTTTTAAAAATAAAAAAATATTTACGCGAATAACTCGCACATACAAGCTGTTTGCAGCTCAAGTTATCAAAAAACATAAATACATTACAAAATTAAGTTTCATAAAATGTGTGTTTCATAACAGATAATATACATTTACGCAATCGTGATTGAGAGATCTCCAGCTATGATATTTTTCAGTTAATTATAAAATCGATAAGCAGTAATCTCATTATGAAAGTCATCTAAACGGCCGGCACTTAGACAACAGAGGGTGGCAATTAAACGGTAAACAGGGCCGAGTCACCCCACAGGGCAAACAGCATAATCTTCGAATTACCCATTAGAGAGAGAGGGACACTCATCGGCCCATGGGTTGAATTCACTTTGTAGGGCAAAAAACAACAAAAAGCCCCGATGGAGGAGGACTCGGTTGACCAGTTGAGTGGTATATCAATCAAGCACGGCTTGACAGCGGGGGTCGGCTATGTTTGCCCAGTAAGACGAGAAGTCGGCAAACTGCGACACCCCGTCCTTAAAATTACACTTATTCAATTATTTCGATACCGGAAGAGAAAGGGTTGCGGATTATTGGGCAATTTCACCCTGACGACCACCTACTGGGCTTTTAAGAGGCGCTTCGTGTTTTCGTACCACTAGAGTGGAACATCTGAAAGTAATATTTCTTCGGAGACAAGCTTTCCGAGAGCCCTGTCTGCCCGTAAGTCTCTTAGGTCAGACGTATAAGAAAAAATTCTCACGCAAGCAAAACTTAGACAAGATTGTGTCGACATTAAGAGGGCCACGTTTATAAACAATGATTTAAAAAAACATGGTGCCTTTACTCTGTAAGATTTCTTTTAATTGAAATAAGTCGAAAAATGATTTTTGAGTGAGTGCGTGTGTGTGGTGATAGAGAGAGAAAGAGAGAGAGAGAGAGAGAGAGAGAGAGAGAGAGAGAAAGAGAGAAAGATGAGAAAGAGAGAGATAGAGGGAGGGAGAGAGAGAGACGAGATAGAGATAGAGGGAGGGCGAGAGAGATAGAGAGAGAGATGAGAGAGAGAGAGAGTTAGAGGGAGGGAGGGAGAGAGAGATAGATAAGTACAGAGAGAGAGAGAGAGAGAGAGAGAGAGAGAGATGAGAAAGGGAGAGATAGAGGGATGGAGAGAGAGAGAGAGAGAGAGAGAGATGAGAAAGGGAGAGATAGAGGGATGGAGAGAGAGAGATGAGATAGAGATAGAGAGAGAGAGAGAGATGAGAGAGAGAGTTAGAGGGAGGGAGGGAGGGAGGGAGAGAGAGATAGATAAGTACAGAGAGAGAGAGAGAGAGAGAGAGAGAGATGAGAAAGGGAGAGATAGAGGGATGGAGAGAGAGAGAGAGAGAGAGAGATGAGAAAGGGAGAGATAGAGGGAGGGAGAGAGAGAGAGGAGAGAGAGAGAGAGAGAGAGAGAGAGGAGAGAGAGAGAGAGAGAGAGAGAGAGAGTTATAGGGAGGGACGGAGAGAGAGATAGATAAGTACAGAGAGAAAGAGAGAGAGAGAGATGAGAAAGGGAGAGATAGAGGGAGGAAGAGAGAGATAGAGAGAGAGAGAGTGAGAGAGAGTTAGAGGGCGGGAGGGAGAGAGAGATAGATAAGTACAGAGAGAGAGAGAGAGAGAGAGAGAGAGAGAGAGAGAGAGAGAGAGAAATAAAGGTATATAAAAAAATGATACGATAGAAACAATGAAATTACTTTTTAAATGTTTAGGGGTAGTTAATTAAATGGTTAGGCTTTTCATTCAAATAACGACTAAAAAGATTACCACTATTGTAGATATATATAATAGATAGATGGAGATAGACATAGAGATAGAGAAAGAAAGAGATCACCACGAGTGTATGTCACCCTAATGATATATATATCATATTTACTTGGCATTTAATTTGTCTACGTAGTTTATTACTATTTATTGTAACTACTCCTCTTATTGTATAAAATTCCTCGCCCATTGTTCGCTTATGTTGTAAATGAGTATTGTGAATTTTGATTGCAACCTAATATTTTCCTAGGATGATGATCTATTGTCCTCGCTTTGAAAAATTGAAGCATTAAACATTTTTATCATTGAAATGTGATTAAAGAAATACTCTGGACCTTATTTAATTCAAAAGATTTAGTTCTTGCTTTAGCTAACATGACTTAAGTAAATAAATCTCATATTTCTTCTATATTTCTTGAGACTTTGGCAGGGTTGTCGCAGTTGCTGCGTAGCAATAATTCGTTATCGAACAAAATACTAATAAAAAAAATATTATGTCACATGAGTAACGTATAATTGCAACATCTATAGTAAAATATTATGTGGTATAAGAAGTATCAAACTGTTGGTAATATACAATGATGGTTTTTAACTATTATGATGGTATATGTATGAGCAAACCAATTCAAATTAACTTTTATTTCGAGAAAGAAGAAAGAAAGAGAAAGAGGAAGGGAGAGAGAGAGAGAGAGAGAGAGAGAGAGCGAGAGAGAGAGAGAGTGAGTGAGAGAGAGTCTGTTGATAATGGTTCGTGATGATTGCAATCTTAAAATGAGCAGCAAAGGTATATT